AAGAAGAAAATCTCTTATTTCAAAACCAACCTAAAGAAGGGTGGACTGGAGCCTAAGACAGCTACTATCACCGCAGTATATACATGGTTTCCCCAAATACTCAATTCCCCCTAATCAAGGCGATAATGTCCCTAAGACGCAAGATACTACTGGAAGTGAAAAAGAGTGAACATACTTTAGAAGTAATAGTAAAGCCAATCTTAAACACGAAACAAGGGATAAACCTCTCCTCCTATATGCAACGTGATTAGAGACGACAAATTGCCATTTGAAAGAATGTCTAGAATTCATTACTGTCAAATGAATTTTCCCTTTTCTGAATTAGAATCAAATAAAAGAAAAATTAAAATAGAAACAGTTTTAGAGGAATGAGTGATTATCATTTGGCTTGATGAATGTTGAATAGCCAGGAATTGCTTTTCTTTGAAAATCGTTTGATAATGAAGAGGGCACAAAAAGAAAAGCTAATTGAGAGAATTGTAACGCATATGAAGTGCCATTTGGTAATTTGTCTTGACTAAACTTGGCAGAAAAACGAATAAACATTTACCAGGCAAAGAGAATTCAATAAAACATGAAGGAAAGACTTTATTATCTAAATGTACCTTCATATGTTTCATTCTAGAACTAAAAAAAGAACATTTATTTACACACACACACACACACACATATATATATATATATATATTCTTATATTTTTTCCAATTGTTATTTTTAAACTAACTGGTCCTTATTTTCAGAATTATTTCTGGGAAATTTAACCATATTGTCGACATGGAACAAAAAACTCTTAGTAAAAAAGAAGTTACCAATACCAATATCCAGAAAGAGGCTTACGCAGGAGCGTTTCTGTTTAAAATTTTGAATTTGATGTAACTATGGCTACAAAATACTTAGCTTTCATTGCTTGCTTTGATAAAGTCAGACGACTAAATGCGTCGGCGCAAACAAATAATTTTTCTAGTTGTCATTTTTAAACAAATTTTTCTTTGTTTTCGTAATTATTTCTGGGAAATTTAACTCTCTCTCTTTTTCTCTCTCTCTCTCTCTCTCTCTCTATATATATATATATATATATATATATATATATATATATACTTTTGCCATATATATTACTTGTCAGCTGTCAGTATACCTCGTAACACCATCGAGCGCTTAGCCTTGGAGCGTGTAGAATGGAGATCAACGTGTTTTAGTGGACTCAGCCGTTTTCAATCAGATTGTCTGAATCGCCTTCAAGAAGCGAGAGCAAGATCTAAAAGGTCAGCCAATCTAACAGTGATCTCATCCCACAATCCTTACCCTTGCTTCATATGCGACCTCCTTTGTAAATGACTACTAGCGGGTCTTAAGTGTCACTTAAGATTATCGCACAAAATTTCATAACTGAATCAATTAAGTTGTCAGAACCTCATACGTCGAAAACCGACGGGTGAGTCCATTATATATATATATATATATATATATATATATATATATATATATATATATATATATATATATAATGAACTCTCCTGTCGAGTTCGACGTATGAGGTTCCGACGATCACGAACTCATTATCTGCATGCGTATGACGGGCATAACCTTTGAGACCGGCTCGAGAATTGCACAAAAGACCACAAACATTACAGGAGAATGTATTGTATCCAAGTACAGCAGGAACACTGTTAGCTGTCTTATTTTGCTTTCGTGTTTCATGCAGTCGAATGATGCTTACTACTTGGTAGTGCATTATTCCTGAATGGCAGCTAGAACGATACTCTGATTTCTTCATATATACTTCTTCAAAGTTCTTGAATGGAATGTTGACGCAAGGAAAGTTCCTCTTGAGTTTATCTTTATACCTGAGGCAAGGTCTACCAACATTTCTATAACAACTATGGAGTTCACTGTAGAAACGAATTTTTGGTATGCGGTCATCACTCATCCTTGTCATATGGCCAGCCTAACGTAGTTGTGATTGCATTATGAAGGTCTCGATGGTACCAATCTTGCATTTCTCAAAAAGGTCTGCATTTCACACTCGATCATCAAACGTTAGGCCATACGGAGACAGCCTTTATGGAAGACATCGAATATATATATATATATATATATATATATATATATATATATATATATATATATATATCAAATATGTGGTGCAGTTCAATTTATATTACATGAATCATTCATACAAAAATCAGATTAGTGAAGTTAATGATATAAATGATGAGAATACATCTTCGCAAACAAATTTATTAAAATTACATTAACGCACGTACCTCTAGATGAATGTTGTAATCCCTGTTTTTTAATAAATTCAACTTGGAAAAGGGCTTTTTTTGCTTGTACTTTCATCTGTTCATACAGACATCATCAGGCATGAAAATTGATTTGTTTTTGTTTTTTAATACATCCAGGTAATAACGGGACACGAAAGATTAGATGTGAATCGAAATATGTTTTTTAGAAATGTGTTATTGTTAACTGTAAGAAATTCTGGAGCGTGCGGTCGCAACGCTAAGGTTGAATTTTTTGAAAATTTAAAAGTGACTGTGTTTTTTTTTACTAATATGGTAATTGGAGAATTCTTTTGTTGTAGTAGTTTTTTTTCAGTCGATGTGGCATGAACTAAATTGTTTTTTGTATGAATGATTCATTTTATATATATATATATATATATATATATATACTTCTCCTCCCCCAATACAAAGTATGCTTGAGAGAGATATGAAATTAATCCCTCCCTATACTCTACCATGTAACTTTAACTATCCCTTTTACACTCTCTGTTAAATTACAAAAACTTACACTACCCATCAATTTTAAATTCATTTTTCGTTTCATTTCATTTTTGGAAGTGCTATCTGATGATCTGGCGTCCTTTAAAAGGTCTCTGTTGAAATAAATTATTATAATGGTACCTTAAAATGGTCTGTTTTTCTTTTAAATATATATATACATATATATATATATATATATATATATATATATATAAATGAGAGAAAGAACAGATGGAGTAAAATTAAAAGGCGCTCAATACAAAATAGAGCAATATATTATTATTATTATTATTATAACATTATAATAAAATGTTGAAATCGCTACACAAAAGTTTTCATGTTTCAATATTTTGATTGTACTTCTTCAGGCGATGGTAAGTAACTGGTGTTTAAATGATTTTTTAAGAAAATTTAAACACAAAATGTTGGCTCTTTTCCGGAAGTTAAAGTGGTCACAAGGTCAGAATTAAACATTGACTTATGGATATATCTTGATAAACCAATTAAATTTCAGATCTACGCTAAATAGAAAAGTAAGCTCTTAGGGTGGAGGTGGGTGAGTTATTTTTTTTCATGCCATGATATGTCGGAACACTGAAAGGCCATCATTGACAATTGCGGAAAATATGTCAGCGACAAATGTATCATGACTGTAGACAAATATGATATGTGCAATTTTTGAAAGGGCGTTGAAGAGAGGGGTAGGTTAATTAGACGTAAATTTAACAGAAATTTGTTTTTTTAATTTTTTAGTTAACTCACACACATATATATACCCAATCAATCTGACTCTCTCTCTCTCTCTCTCTCTCTCTCTCTCTCTCTCTCTCTCTCTCTATATATATATATATATATATATATAAGCCATATCCACTACTCCCCCGTGCTTTCTCTCTCTCTCTCTCACTCTCTCTGTATATATATATATATATATATATATATAGAGAGAGAGAGAGAGAGAGAGTCAGATTGATGGAGTCTCTATGTGTATCCCTTTGGGTCCTGCTTGGGCATATATATATATATGTGTGTGTGTGTGTGTGTGTGTGGACATCAAAACAACATACATGCTAATTGACAAATTCATGCATTAAGCGATCATCAAATGATCTGATGATTGATGAAGGCATCAAATATTAGGTTGGTGCAAAAATAATGACGTAATAATGTCGTCTTTTGACGTTAAAAATACGTCAAAAACGACATTATTTTTGCACCAACCTAATAGTTAGTGACCTGCCGCGATAATGTTTTATGCAGCAATACACAAATTTTAAACACTTTAAATCGATAGGTCGAATATATCTGTAGAGAAAACAAATAGCATAAAACAGACATTAGGTCAACAGTACTTAGTTTTGCCGACGACTTCCGTCATCCGACTTTTTTCAAGGCAAGTGAGGATAAACAAAAGCGAAATGTTGTATAGTTACACGAAATTCAAAAATTTCAAAAGATGCTCCGGCGATAAATCTCATTTTGGATATTAGTAACATTTTGTTTTGTTTTTTTTGTTTTTTTTGGGTGGGGTTGTTGACTAAATGTGTGTTTTTGTTTTCCATATCAACAGTGTGTCGCAGTTCTTCGGTTGAAAGCAGTAATGTTTGCTCAGTCAATGAATAATGTATGTTTACTTATAAAGGAAAGAGCTAATATTACGATTACCATCATGTAGGTATATTAATATACACATCACTACCGGAATTTGTTGGTAGATAAATAGAATAGAATATATAATCGATTTCACCTAAGAAACAGAAGCAAACTACACTTTATATCTTGACATATATATATATATATATATATATATATATATATATATATATATATATATATCAAGATGGGGAACTGATTGAGTTTTCCAGCAACGAAATCAAACTTTGTGTCTCGAGCGTTTAACCGGGTTAATTATCGTGTGCCAAAATCTATGATTGCGTACTTTTGATGATATCTATTTGGATGTGTGAAGGATAAATGATTACTTCGTTGTCCTAATGGGAAAGTTGCAGAGCGCTTCGTCAGATTAGAAAGAAAAAAAGAAAGAAAGAAAGAAAGAAAGAAAGAACAATTAATAAAACAAACTGGAATAAAAGAAATATAAAGACAAAAATATATATATATATAAAACACAAACTCAGAAAAGAAAAAAAAACAAATGAAAGAAAAAGTAACAGCGAACAAAAAGTGGAAAAGAAAGGAAGAATAAAGGCAAAATGAAGGAAAAAGGAAAGAAAATCAAAAGAAATACATAGAGAAGAAAACAGAAAAGTAAAAAGCAATGAAAGAAAAACAGAAAGAAGAAGAAAATTTAAGAAAAATTAAAGCAACAAAGAAAAAGAAAAGCAAACAAGAAATGAAAGAGAAAGTAAAACCAAACAAAAAGAAAGAATAAAAAGCAAATGTATAAAAAAGAAAAAAAAAACAGAAATGTAAAAATGAACAAAAATAATGAAAAAGTAAACTTAAAAGTATACTAAAAGAAAGAAAGAATGAAAGAAGGAAAAAGAAAATTTAAGAAAAAATAAACTACATCGCAAAAAAGAAAATTAAAACTGTTTGTTATAGTGGAACACACCTATTCTTTAGTTAATAGACTCTCCCACCTATAATAAGTAAGAGTAGTAATAGTAACAAGGGTTAGCCGTCTCGGAGTTGGTCAGTCAGTCGTTGTCGGACGAGCGGCTGAACGGTTGAACTCTCTGCCTTCGGGCGCGGAGGAACCCGAACGAGGCTATGCCGAACGGCAGAATCTCTTTCGGGAAGGTAAACCGACCCTGAACCCCTTTATACGAGTTCAAATGGCATATTTTTGGCCGAGCCCACGGGCTCGGAGATCCCACGTTAAACCGGCCTTGTGCCACATGATACCCTCGTGGGGGGTGACTAAATACTAGTCAGTCGATGTCGGACGACCGTTAGTCGGATATTAAAGTATCAGCGACCACCACTAGATTTCTCTGCGTCATTACCTATTATATCAAGTTCCTAACGTTTTGTACGTCGAACCTATTTTAGGACCGACTTAGTACAAATACAAGCCTCCACTGTGAAACCACACTATAACACTGTTATATACCGTATATATGAACACTAATGGGTATATCCCAATCTTCATAAATACATTGGATACTATTGTAAGCGGGGGTAATATGGTGTCTAAGTAGTCCACCACTATCAGTGGTTTACCTACTTCACGCCGCTGGCGAGTATTTAATTTTGTTGATGTTATAAAGATTATCATTTCATTTACAACTTCCGTTTTGGCTATTCCTCATTCAGTAACCTTTTCTAGGTTACAACAAAAACGAAATGAAGAAAAAAAAGTAAAAGCAAAATAAAAATGAAAGAGAAAATTAAAAACGAAACTAAAACGAAAAAAGAAAAGTTTTTAAAAAAAGACAATAAATAAAAACAATGAACAAAAAATACTAAAAATCAGAAAGAAATGAAGAAAGAAAGAAGCAATAATAAAATAAACTAGAATGAAAAAGAAATACAAAAATATATTTAAAAAAAAACACGAAGAAAAGAAAGAAAAAGTAAAAGGAAAACTAAATTAAATAAAAAGTAAAAGCTAGCTAAAAGAAAGAATAAAAGGAAATTGAAAGAAAAAGGAAATAAAACTAAAAGAAAGAAATATATAAAAAGAAAAACGGAAGTGTTAACGTGAACAAAAAGAATAAAAGGAAAAAGTAAGAGAAAAACATTCTAAAAGAATAAAAGAATAAAAGAAACAAAGCAAAAAGAATATTTAAAAAAAAGGAAGCTACAAAGCAAGAAAGAAAAAGTAAACATGAAACGAAATGAAAAAAAGAACAAGTAAAAGCAAACAAAAAATGAAAGAGAAAATTAGAAACTAAAAATAAAAGAAAAAAAACAGATAAAATAAAAATAAAAAATAAAGGCAAACAATAAAAAATAGAAAGCAAACTGAAAGAAAAAGGAAAAGAAAAAAGAAAGATTTTAAAAAAAAATCAAAAAAGAAAGAAAAACAAACTAAACTATAGAAAGAAAGAGAAAGAAAAAGCAAAAACAAAGAAAGAAAGAAACTGAAAAAAGAAAGAAAAGAATATGGTTAAAACTCAAAAAGAAAAAAAGAATATGGTTAAGCTCTAACTCTATCTTAAGAAAGATAATCCTTTATTATCTAACACTCGTTTCCTCTCTCAATATTTCTTGTGAAGCAATGCAACCGTCATTTTCAACTTCAAACCCGATTACCTAATTTTAGCACTGGAACCTGATTACCTAGTTTTTGCATTGTCAAATTTGAAAAACCCGCCGTTTCAGTTCGAAGAGTACCAATACCATCTTTTATGGATTTATCTCACCAATATTCAAGACCTCTCCACAACAGTCGATGAGCCCTCGGGCACCAATTAATCAATAGATGAGAAGTGAGAGTCTAACATTTATCGCGCCACTCGCTGGGAAAGTCGATTCGCCTTTTCACTCATAACAAGCGTGACATATCACTTCGCTATTATAAAATCTAAAATCGCTGACTAGATGGTTCCTACTTATTTACATGTGGACCATTCCCCGCATCGTTATTGTTATCATCACAATGTTTCGATCGCTGAGCTCTCCGGCCATCATCAAGTGCTTTGAACCTTTTATTCAATTTACGCTATGTCTAGTTCTTATTTATTTCTGCTCAGTTATAGCTTGCCTCGTTTCTACTGAGCCAAAGTATACACTGCCCAGCCCAGGGATTGAAATCATAACTACTATGTCACTAAATTCACAAACCAACGAGTTTATCCACTGGATTATTTTCCTGGCTACCGTTCTTCCAAGGATATAAAACAAATCTTCATGACATCTATAAAACGTAAAATATATGTTGTTTAATATGAAAAAGATATGAAAATTTTTCACATCTTCTTGTTATTAGGTTGTTACATAAATCCGTTCGATTATTTGTTCAATACCTCGACAATAAAAATTATTAGGTTTCGATTCGAAAAATTCATCAAGCTACGTTTTAAGCGCAACATCGTTGTTGAATGAAGCACCCCTCAAATTGTTAGAAAGCGACCGAAAAAGGCGGTAGCCTGAAGACGCTAAATCAGAAGAATATGGTGGGTGTGAGAGAACTTTCCAACGGAGCCCTTTCTTCGTATCCACAAATAACCTGGTATCGAGCGATTAAACTCGCAGCAATGGAGGAACGCTGGAGTTCCTTCTCTTGATCAATGCGTGTGGCAGCCATGCGTTATTTTCCTGAACCTTATCCACTGAGTGAAGATGAGGGACAGTAACATGATGACTTGCCATTTTCCTTGTCAATTCCCTAGTGGTCTGACGCAGTTCTTAAATCAGCGCCTGCAATTGGTTCTCATGAAACTGAAAAGGTCGGTCAGACCGCAGAGTCTGTGAGTTCAAGTTTCCCCTCTTCTTGAAACGGGAAAACTATTTCTGTGTCATTCTGTCGGTAACGAAGTCATCTCCGTACACGACAGAAATTTGGCACCTATGTAACCTTGATTAAAAGGAAAAAGAAAGGGTGGAACATGCCCATTCTTGTCTACTTGGCATTCCATCTCAAAGGAGTGTCCAATATGAAAAAAATTTTCAGTGACGTTAGACAACAGTTTCACAGAATTAGCAGCGTTACTAAGAAGCAAAGACATTCTATGAAAGATTATTCTTCGAGATCATTCGCGGAACATCAGAAAAAAACGGATATTATTTAACAACCTAATAGAATTGCTCGCAGACATTTGACCAGTTGTGACTCTGTTCATTGCCAACCATTATTACTTCTATATCCGCATTCAAACAGTGATGTTTTCAAACGACGAAAAGAATCTTAAGTGAGTCTCTGTCAAGTCCCAAGCAATATTTAATGTATTTAAGATGGTTATTTTTTGCAATTTTCTTATGCTGAGTGCGATTTCGATGGTGTCAAAAGTGTTTCTGGAGATTCTTTGGAATTAACCCAAGGGCTCCAATGACAACTGGCACAGCAATGGCATGTACATTCCACAGTCCTCCAACATCTATCCTCAACTCTGGGTAATTTCCAATCTTTTAAATTTTTTTACCAGCAATGTATTAATCGTCAAGACATGCTGCGTCTATCAACTGGTTTTCTACACGGATTTTTAAGGCCATTGTTATGTCTGGTCTGCTAAGTTCAATAAAGCTGAACTGGGAATTCACACAGGAGTTAAACATACATTTTTAATACAATTTCTGGTTATGTTTGTACCAGTTGTCAGAAATTTAACACTTTGTCATGGCGCCTCTTGTATTCTCTCTGCGTAAACATGTCACAGTCCTAATTTTCTTCCCACACAGCCTACACTTTTATTATTATTTTATTTCCTTTGATTTCTGGTGTGTACTTATTTCTTTCCTAGTCCCGACCAGAGACCTAAGGTCAAAAATGGCATCATGACATTTTCCACTAAGCAATTTTGAGAAAAAAAAATCGCACATATCTTACATAGATAATGTTCTTTATAAAGTGTGGGTTGTACTCGTTAGAACCTTTTTTTTTGTATTTCTTTAAGGCATGGGATTAATGTGTCTATTGGAATTTTTGGGTTAAAAATGCCTTTTCTCTCCCTTTTATTGAGATAGTCACAAAGATCACGTGACGGCCGATGAATGGCATCAGGAGAGAAAGTGATGAAAGCAGTTGTCATGTAGAGCCCACAGACGAAGGACGTCCTTAGACCATAGCAGTAGGTCTCATAGGAAAAAGCACGTGACCTAGCTCAGTTTGTAGAGAAACTGCCGTAACCCGTGTTTACCCTTCGGGAAATATAACAAGTAAGGTTCCGCCTTCTTACACACTGTTTGTTGAGGTGTATGTTATAATTACTTTGCGTGGGGCACTTGTATACACACACACACACACACACACACACACACACACACACACATATATATATATATATATATATATATATATATATATATATATATATATTGTATACGATATAGCATTATAAACTTCTCTGTGAACAAAGCATGCGTGTTATCCTTTTTCCATTCAGCTATTCCCTTCTGTCCATGAAATATCGGTGTTGTTATATCATGGATATGCCCCATAATGAGAGAAACATATAAGGGTAAATAAATATTTTCTCTCACTCCCGTTACAGAATCTTTTCCAATCAATCCGAGTGCTCCATCTACAACTGGAATTATTATTATTATTATTTCATTCTACACGGATATGCAATGTAATTGGCCCTGATCTGGCATCTCGTCTGCACTCTCACAGACGTGCCGTCACCTCCTGCTGTCTTTTTTACAAATACTTTCATGGTAACTGCTCCGATGAGCTGCTTTCGCTGGTTCCCAGACTTCATGAATTTAAGCGTTCAACTAGGCTGGCATCTCGCTCTCACCTTTTCACTATCGAAAATGTTAAATGTAGCCGTCTCTTCTACTCCAATAGCTTCATGCCCCGCACCTCTCGCCTGTAGAACTCCCTCCCCTTTTCTTGTTTCCCTGATAGCTATAATCTCCAACTATTCAAATGTAATGTCAATCGATGTCTCCAGATGCCTTAATATATCCCCTATCCTTCTCTTCATCCTTTCCTCCATCACTCCTCTTTACTCTCGCTCCAACTCTCTGTAACCCCTTGCATGTTAGTGGCTTCCCACCTTGCTTGGGGTGAAACGTTTAAAAAAAAATATCCCCACGTCAATGAGGAGGCATTTTTTGTAAAAGACGGTGATGTCTGATCTGTTGGCCTAAAAAATCCTGTTTGGATGTTGAAATCCGATAAAATCTCATCTCGCTCGTTTTCCATCACCTTCTACTGTGGCGATAACATTTCTTTTCAACTTTAAGTTCATACTTTTACACAGACAGCAATTAAAATGGTATGTTTATTATTTTATTATTATTATTATTATTTCGTTTTATTTCTGTTGGATAAACATTTTCTTCCTGAGACCTAATGTCAGAAATGCTTCATGGCATTTTCCATTGATCATTTTTGTGAAAAAAAAAAAGAGAAACTAGAGTCACACTCATTTTACATAGATAAATCTCCTCGTAATACGTGAACTGTGCCTGTGAGTACCATTTTTTTTTTCATTTCTTTAAGGCACCAGGAACCTCTTCAGTGAGACTATTGGAACTTTTTCCCATCAATCCGAGGGCTCCAGCTGCAACTGGATTTATTGATATCCTCCTATGCTACATGTTTTAGATTTCCACTTTAAGATCCTTGTATTCTTCTTCTTCTTCTTATTATTATTATTATTATTATTAGCAGGCTTCGCCCGCTCTCTATCGATTCGCAAAGTAAGACATATTCACTACTTGAAATATTTGAAATAAAAATTTTAAATGAACATTTCATTCATAAATTGACTTGTTATAGTTAAAGAAAGTTTTACAAATAGATGCCAACTTGTTGAAGACAATATTCCTAAACAGAACTATTTTTATATGAAAATCAAAATAATCCTTGAATAAAAGAACACTAATCAAGGACAGTTAATTAATGAAATCAATATGCAAATTAAATAGAATTAGATAACATATAATACAGATATTGAGCTTTTAGCGCATAAATTTCTATAAAGTATAGTTGGGGTTTTTAACCCCAGAATTCATTGGATAATTGCGCACCGATTATTCATTTAGATTCCATAATATAGGTTTTACTTAGTTGTTGTTTCTCTAATTGTTCAGCTGCTGAATGTATAACTAATTCTAATTTCTGTTTTCCCATCTTTACACTATATTAATTTTATCTCATAAATTGTCCCCTCTGCTGTCAACCATGAAATAAAATTAATTGTTTGTACGAAAAATAAGGACTTCCGTACATCAAATCGTCTTTAAATTAAATGGCAGCAGAAGAATTATCGTTGAACTTTTAAATGGTAAGCTTAAACATTAATTCAATACTTAAATGATGCGATCAATTTTGTGTTCTTCCGTCGTTTATTGATACCTGTCGCATCTACTCCTCCCTAGCTATTGTGATGCTGGCCAAACCAACAGTCCTCCAAATAGCTAGCTTAAATGCTTTTAAGCTATTTATAATAAAGCGTGCACTGCAATTTTGGATACAAAAGGAAAATAAGAGTTACTCCCCTTGAACCATGAAAGCAACGATAATGGCTAGTATAATATATTAATATATATTTTTAACCTCGCATAATCTGGCAGCCCTGAATCTGAGCTCAACAAAAATCGTTCCCTGCGCCTAACTTTTCTATTGCTTTTGAATGAGCTATGAATCATTGAAATCGGATCAGTGGGAACGGTGGAGTTGCTTGCACACACACAAACACAAGCACACACACATACACTGTACTTTATATATAAGATTATTATTATTATTATTATTTATCGTTCTGTTTGATACTGGTTGATTACCTGAGGCAAGGCAAGTTAGTATATATTCGCTATCTGTTTGCCCAAATTCTTATGTTATGTTATGTATGTAATGTATGTTATGTAATGGTATGCTTGACATAATTATTCATGAATTTCTTTTACTCAGGAACGCAATTCTCTAGTGGGGGGGGCATTAAAATTCATAAATAATGTTGATATTGTATAGTTTATATTTAACTAGAGAGTTATTATTGCTGGAAAATCTAATTCTTTTAAATTTGTTATAGTAAATAATTTAGTCTCAGTGTTTTTAACTGAAGTAATGCAGTTTTAAATAATATTCTTTCGTGCGAATTCATCTTTGCTGTAATTGGCATGCATCTGGTTTAGATGAAATATATTCATATTTTTACTATTATCTCCATGAACTGTATTATTGCTGCTTAATTCTGAGAGAAGCAATTTAATTTGGTCGTCTATAATATAATTCAGGAAAGAATTATTGACTTGCATTTGTTTTACAATGCTAAGTTCTATCAGAAATATCGTCCGAAAGAATGAGATCTCGTGAGCTCTCGTTAAGATTTTTTTTCATTACTTCTAATGGGCGTCTAAGAGGGCAATAGCTATTATAATTAATATGCCAGATATTACTTGTGGGTTTTTATATAGTGAAGTCGTAAAAGATTATTATGAGATTTTACAAGTAAGTTTACAAAGGGAATTTTGTTATGTTCGTAATAAAAATATTATTAAATTCTACGAGAATGTCTGGGAATGGATATTTTTTATTATTCAGTTCGTAAGAAGTTTAAGAACAAATTTCTCTTTTTTTTTTTACAAATGGGATTTTAAGGCTATTCATTTCATTTTTATGCTAGCTAAAACTGAAATTTTTACTTAACAGATTTCAATTTTAAATTGTGTAAGATTCTTAAAAGTTTTGTTTTAGACGTAATTTGTGGTTGGTTAAATTAGAATTCTTGTTATTACCAAGTTCGTAAGTAAAATATTATTACTGGATTCTACGAGAATGCCTGGGAATTACTTTTTTTTATTATTATTCATTTCGTAAATAACTTCAAAAATTTAAGTAAATCTTCAAAAATTTAAATACAATGTCAATCGTTATAACTCTTCTTAATTCTTGTACTTTTATTGTCCTCTCTCCTTAACGGCAGTTTTTTTCATATTCTCTAACACACCCGTCTTAGTGGCTTTACTGCTTGATTGGTGGGGGTGAATTTGATTAAAAAAATACTTCCAATTAATATCTGTTGTTTTATCTGCTGAAACAACAAATATTATTTGCAAATCTTTTTGACGCTAAGTGAAGCCAAAATTCCTTCGTTTCGTTTTATTGCGTTAATGATCATAGAGAGTTGATAGGAAGATGCCATACTATACTGTGTGTGTAGATGTGGAGAAATAGTATAGTTGAGGAATTTTGATAATTGGTAAATGGAAGTTAGAATCTGTGAACAGTTTGACTGTATTGATTCCATATTCATATTTTCTAACATTTCCGTATAAGCATCCTGAGTGATAATCTGCAGTGATTTAGAAAGGTTTAATGCATACTATCAGTTATAACAAATTTAGGATAAGAGTAAAACGAAGCTGAACATAAGTTCTTTGAGAAATTTCTGGGACAAGTAATGAGGAGGAAAGGCTTAGAAAATCTGATATTCACAGGACAGATAGAAGGAAAGAGTGACAGAGGAAAGCAACGCGCAACATACTTGATGGGTTTGAGCAAGTGGATGCCGGGACAGGGTTTAGGAGAAATACCAAAAAGACAAAACTTATTAAAACCTACAAGAGTCAGGAAGATGTGGAGGGCCATGATCACTTACATCTTGAAGGTTCACGGCACATAAAAGAAGAAAAATTGTCACAACCTCACAAATTGCTATAAAACCAAAACATCAACCTGACATCTTGTCATGTTCTTAAATAGCCTTCATTTGATCGACATTAACTTGGATGTTATTCTTGGCGCCAAACCAGTTCAGAAATATGTAAACTCTCAGATGTATACAACCGCTATCTAAAAACAATGGTTAAAAAGGGGCCTTTTAGCGAGTGAAGCCTAAGGGTCTTGACAATGACCATTTTTTTGGGGGGGGGCATTGTGTAATGAAGCTACAGATTCATAAAACAAAGAACTATGCGAAATAACAGCAACAACATCACTTGAGGACTACCAACAACAGCAACAACTTAAATGGATAGCACATAACAACTCGAAGAGAAAATGTTAGAATTTTTGGATACGTTGGTGCTAGTGAACCAGCCAAAATGATCTGACTCATTTTATAGTTCACCAATAGAAGGGTTCACCAATCAGAAGTTTCAAAATATTCAATGCGACGTGTATAAAGGCAGCCATGTTTTTCTCGAATATTCACTGAAAGCCAGCCTTTAATATCGAAAACTGAACAGCTGCTGGTGGTATTGGCGATTAGGCGGAACAGCTGACCCGTGAGTGTTAATCTTTAACGTTGTTTCATTGGTTATACTGGCGATATAGGAACATGGATTCAAGATGTTGACATTTCACACTACTTCAGACAAAAGGTTACGTCTGACCCGGACTTGAGAGTGTTAATGAATATACCAAACAACAGAAACCAAATGTTTCCTAATGATATAATCAAGATGATGACTTCCACACTACTTCAAATAAAAGGTTAGGAAGGAAACCCTGTCAAACTGGAAAGATATAACAGCTACTGGACTTGGAAAGCCTATTTTCCTGAAAAATTATTTTAAGAAATTTTACCATTGTTTGATAATGAATGATTTTGGTATTTTTATTAGCCGCATTTCAGATTGGTAATGATTTTGGTATTTTTTAAAGCCGCTATTTTTTTTTTTTTAAATGAACTGGGCTTCAGGGAAGATCTCTAGTTATTTTTCTGATTTAAAACCTTATCATAATTTTGATTTTCCTTCGCCTCGTCCCTTAGGTCCTTAGTTAACACGCATGTACGTTACATCCTGACAATACCTCATAAATAATGGACTATTTGGCTGAAAGAAAGAAAGAAAGAAAGAAAGAAAGAAAGAAAGAAAGAAAGAGAGAAAGAGGGAAACGCCCTACCAATACCTCATAAATAATGGACTGTTCCGTTTTCATCGTAATGAAAGACAGAAAAACATGCCGCAGACTTTGTTTGATTTCAAAAAAAGAAAGAAAGAAAAAAGAAAAAAAAAAAACAAACAAACAAACAAACAAGCAAATATTGCTAATGAAAATGAAATGAAGTTAGCATATATTAACATGGAAAAAGAAAGAAAGAAACAAAAAAGAAAGAAAGAAAAAAGTATTGGTAATGAAACTAAAATAAAGTAAGCATGAAGAAAGAAAGAAAGAAAGAAAGAAAGAAAGAAAGAAAGAAAGAAAGAAAGAAAGAAAGCAATATTGGTAATGAAACTAAAATAAATAAGCATATATTAGCATGAAGAAAGAAAGAAAGAAAGAAAGAAAGAAAGAAAGAAATATTGGTAATGAAACTAAAATAAATAAGCATATATTAGCATGAAGAAAGAAAGAAAGAAAGAAAGAAAGAAAGAAAACAAAATCAAACTGGAAAGCCGTGAAATTTTCACGAGTACAAGTAACATATAATTTGGATTTATTAGTTCGTGTGATGACACTATTAGAATTGTTTGTTTTTTTTAATCTTTTTCGGATGCTTTAAAGTTTGATTTTGTTAAAATAAAATTGTGATTATTGCGAATAGTGCTTTTTTTCTGTGTGGTAACTTTCTGCCCTGAGGAGATCTTTTAAATTTGGATGGATTTTGATTAGTTTGTTGGTTTGATTAGCTCCGAGTTGTCTTAGGGACCGGTGGAAGATTTCAATTACGATTTTCTTGGCACAGAATTGATTTTCAGGTCGCAGTTTAGTCCTAACCTTAGATAGTCATCTGTTAGCTTATAGTCAGATAATTTTGTATATTTTCCATTAGTAATAGGTAGCAGAATATTGCCTTGGTATAAGTTATGACCTTGTTGTAACATTTTCTCAAATTTTGAATTCTTCATTGTTTATAATTCAAGTGATATGGTATTATTATTTCATATATTCTATTTAAGTCGATGTCTGTCTTCGTATTTCGTTATATTTTTCAATCTCACTGTTTAAATGCTGACTATATTTTGGAGCAAATGCTATTTATCATAAAACTAGATTATTCTTGAATGTTATTTTCCTTGTTGGCTACCGAGTCATGTAATTTAATAATTGTGGTAGCAACCCATCTTTGATACATGTTAGATGAAAAATGATTGACAGGGTACTTCTGTTTTCTTTCTTTTCTTTTTTTGTTAGCGATAATGTTACTAAGAAGCATGGATTACTCAGAAGTCTTTACTGAGGAGAAGGGACAATAAAAGAACAGGGTTGAAAAAGACAGAAAATGGCGATTTGCATTTACATTTCTGAGGATTATAAAGTGGCAGAAAAACAAGAAACCCGAAGAGAGTTCCACAGGCAAGAAGTGCAAGAAAAATGACTTTTTAGAACAGAGCTTACGGTTACATCTAGCTATTTCAACAACAAAACGATAAGACCTATTTGCCAATCTAGTAGTATGCTTAAATGTATTTCCAAGGAGGAAAGCTCATTAGAACAACTGTCATGAAAATATCTATAGAAAAGTCACAAGAAAGCAGAAGTGTAAGATCAGGACCGATAACATCACAGACTATTCTTTGGATTTCTTATAAATTCGGAATTCTAACCCGGTTTGCCGATTTCTTATTTATTTCTAGGGAAAGGGGTTTTTAAAAACAATGGCTGCTACTGCTATTAAGCATTACTCTTCAAGTATGAATTAAGTTCTCCGAGCCGCTGCCGTATTTCATATATTGAAAAACGTTAAAATTCCCTTCAGCCTTGCGACGATGGCCTAGAAGTAAGATGTCAAATCAGCCAGGTTTCGATCCCGGCTTGAAGCAATCTGACGTCTAGCCACACCGAGGAGCAGTGATACAGAGAAACACTCTGGATTACTATATATATATATATATATATATATATATATATATATATATATATATATAATAAAGAGCGAGAGAGAGACTGAGAGAGAGAGTGTGTGCATGTGTGCATGCATGTGTGTATGTGCATCTGCATGTATGTACATGTGGACATAGAAATCATTACTACATGGTCGTTAATGTTGGGATTTTTGAAGATAACAGGGGCTATAAATTAAATTACCTTATCAGATCCGACAACCATAAAATAGTATTTGTTTGTTTTATATATATATATATATATATATATATATATATATATATATATCTTAGAGTCCTTGGTGTCTGTTGGAATTTTAATCAGTACACTAAAACCAGAAAAAGTTTTTTCTGTTTTATATATATATATATATATATATATATATATATATATCCAAAGAAGACATACATTTATAACACTTTCGAAAAACCTCCAATATTCTTATTATTTCCAGCCACTAGCACGCAAGGGATTACAGAGAGTTGGAGCGAGAGCAAATAGGAGTGATGGAGGAAAGGATGAAGAGAAGGATAGGGGATAGATCAGGGCGTTTGGAGACGTCGATTGACATTACATTTGAATAGTTGGAGATTATAGCTATTAGGGAAACAAGAAAAGGGGAGGGAGTTCCACAGGCAAGAGGTGCGGGGTATGAAGCTTTTGGAGTAGAAGAGACGGCTACATTTAACAGTTTCGACAGTGAAAGGGTGAGAGCGAGATGCCAGCCTAGTTGAACGCTTAAATTCATGAAGTCTGTGAACCAGCGATAGCAGCTCATCGGAGTAGTTACCATGAAAGTATTTGTCAAAAAGACGGCAGGAGGCGACGGCAGGAGGCGACGGCAGGAGGCGACGGCACGTCTGTGAGAGAGCAACTGCAGACGAGATACCAGATCAGGGCCAATTACATTGCATATCCGTCTCTGGAATTTATCAAGGACCTTGAGACAAACAGAAACGGCTGTAGACCATATATGGCAGCAATACTCCATGCAAGGTCGAATGGTCGATTTGTAGATTTGAAGGATCGACTCCCGCAAGAAAAATTTCCTGGCGCGACACAGGAAGCCAACTTTTCTTGCGGTGGACGAAGCTATTGACTCAGTGTATTTGTTCTATCTCAGGTCAGCAGACAATGTGAGACCGAGCAGTCGCAAAGAGGTGCTCTCTTGGAGTTGAGCGTCAGACATTCTAATGGGAGGCAGGAATTTTTCTCTGTGGGGAGTAATAGAGAGCATTTTTTTTTTTATGGCATTAAAGTTAACCAGCCAATTCCTGCCCCAGTCCACGACCGATTGGAGGTCTTTTTGGAGACAAACGGCCAGGTTAGTTTTGTCAGCGACACTAGATTTGTTTTTGAAGCAGGAGTAAATAGTAGTGTCGTCCGCATGGCATCATGAAGATCGCTATTGAAGATAAAGAACAGAGTAGGGCCTAGGATAGAGCTATGGGAACACCTGCGTTCGTGGGATAGGAGCTGGAGGAGAATCCGTTGAGAACGACCTTCAATATATGGCTTGACAGGAATGAGTGTATTAAGTCAAACAATCGACCTGTAATTCCATAAGCCTGAAGCTTGCGAAGAAGGCCGGCATGACAAACCCTATCAAATGCTTTGGAGATATCTAGAGCAACGGCACGAACTTCTCCGTTATTATGAAGTGCTTGGTAAACAATTTCGGTTACGGCCGTAAGCACATCAGCTGTAGAACGGGCAAAGCGGAAACCATATTGCTTGTCGGAGAGCAGATCATGGGATGTAAGGTGCTTAACAACTTTGGCGTTGATTAAAGCTTTGAAGACTTTGCCGAAGATTGTTAGGAGACTGATAGGACAGTAATTAGAAGAGTCAGAAGGGTCTCCAGAGTTCTTAAAGACAGGAGGAAACCCCGGAAGCACATTCTTGAATGGAGAGCGTTAAGACAACATCCCAGGAGACATCGCGAAGGAAATCCCGGAACAGGTCCCAGTCTGCTCTTTGATAGCAGAACGAGGTTCTAGTGTTAGGAGGTTCTTTGCAGGTTGGGGAGAGTTGAAGGAAATGTTGACAGACACTACAGCATGATCGGAGTTGCCAAGAGGGCAAAGCTGCGTGGTGCTACAAGACTCGGGGATGGAGGTAAAGCATAGATCGAGAAGAGAAGCCTTACTGTCCATGTTGTAGGGAAAACTGCGTGGGGAAGTCAACTATTTGCGTGAGGGATTGAGAAATTGAAAAATTAAGGCTTTGTATGCCTGCAAGGTCAGTAGTGGCGTTATTAAGCCACTTAGTATTTATATACAACAACAAGGATGCCATTGGTTTATTAAAGCTTTAAATTTGAGAACGTTCATGAATATTCATCAAGTGGATGAAAGGCCAGTCAAAACATGTGGAGGGCACAAAGTGACATAATTCTAAGTCTGGTAAGACAAAAGTGAACGATTTATATTCCGGAAATATATATATTTTTTAATAAATGAATATATTTAAATTGTGATCAGATTGTTATGGTTTGGATGGACGTATGTGATGTACATTAAAAACGCGAAGTAATCGAGTTTAACAGTTTTCTTTGTTTTGTTTGTTTAACATTTTTGTGGTCGTGTATGTTGACTTGGGAAAGTAATAAGTCTTCAAGGAAATGTGAGATTGGAAAGAAACCGTCGCGTAAATTCATCTTTTAATTAGATTTCATAGCGTCACTGTCCAGAATTTTTCTTTTGAGTAATTTACTTTCTCTTTTGAGAAGTTTGGCATCTTTTACATCAAAATTGTGGTTGAATTTATTTATGTGTATGTATAGTGTATTTGATAAATTGTTATGTATAAGATCCCTTTTTTGTTCATAGATACGTTTTTTTTAAATTTTTACATGTTTCCCCAATGTGTTGGCAATTTATTTTATATATACCTGCTTCTGGATTATTATTATTATGGATGTTTTTGGTTCTGATCATATCCATAATAGTTTTGGAAGTGATTGTGATAATTTTGTGTTGTTTAGATGGGATAAGTCGTTTTGGATAATAGATTTCATGGATTTGGTAGGTGGTATTATGTGTCTGTTTTTGTATGTTTACTCTTGTGGATAATGTTATCTTTGTTGCGGTTGTGTATTATGTATGCCTTTCTCTTTGCACTGTGGATGAAGTTTAAGGATATTGGAGGTTTTTTAATATGTTTTTTATGTGTGTTTCTTCTTTGGGTATGTATTGGGGGCTGCTGATTCTTAATGCACTTAGGTAAAAACCTATAATTATACGTGATTTAATCTTATTAGAGTGGTAGTAATAAAAGTTGACCAGGTCATTATTGTTAGTAGATTTTTTGTAAACGTCAAATTTGAGGTCGCTATTGTTTCTCTTTCCCAAGCCAACAGACGCAACCAGAAAAATGTTAAAAAATGAAAAGAAAACGGTTCGAATTCATTACCTCATGTTTTTGAAGATGTACAGCACATACATCCATCCCAAAACATAACAATTTGATCACAATTCAAATAATATTCATCTATTTAAATAAAAA